CACCTCATCACTCCTGGTGTCAGTATGTACTCAGAATTGCTAGGGACATAACTTTTCCCTTATTAATGTAGTAGACTTTATATCCTTTTTGTAAGGACATGCATATCCGTAGGTGAAATAAATCACTTTGAATTTACTACCTGAGTGTGTGTGTCTGTCCCGTTATCTTGGAATCCTTGATCCCTGGAACACCCATGCGGATGCAGTGTATGTAGGAACCAGATATTTTGTGGCTTTCTGTGTAAAATAGCAATGTGTATCTGAGCATTATCACTACATCCACCAACACAGGCTGGTCCAGTTCTGGTTAAAAAACCCAACTGTTTTTTTAACCCAACTGGTTAAAAAACCCAAAGGGCCAACTCCAGATATGAGTTGCACAACACAAGTGCTTCACCCCACTCACTGTTGTGGTGCTGGCTGCTGGGGGGGGAGTGAAGCATTTCTTCCTTCTTTCCCTCCCCTCTGCATGTAGCTGGGGTATTTTGTCAGCCTCTGTTTAATATGCATACTTCTCTCTTGGCTGTTCCCCAAACTGGAAGGAGTGCACTGATTTCCTCAACGAAGGGCTTGTCTAAACAACAGTGCTATGGCTTCTTTAACGAGTGTTGTTCAAATTCTAAATCCCCCTAAGCCTTGTGGAGTCACATTAGAACAAACATCACCATTTGGGAAGCAATATCTGCTTTAAAGCACCTCTAGGGCTGTGAACCAGGTGTCCCTGGTAGGGTGCAACAGAAGAGTGGTTTAAGCTTGCAATGAACGTGGGCTGTATAAGACTTCTTATAAAGCAAACCTGTTTGTGATGGTTTTATAAAAAATTAAATATTTGTGAAGGGAAAAGTTGATGGTAGGACAGTTGACGTCCAAGCATACGTCAAGCTACTTAATTATTTCCTGATAGCTTTCTTGTTGCAGTGGGCTGGAAGTGGCCAGGTTGTTTGGGGATGTCTTGCTGGTGTGGAGTGCCCTTTCCTGATGCATCTCTTTGCCTGAGGTCTGCCGTGTTGTAGACATTACTCCTGTGCAGGATGGTTGTTATAAACTATATTTACCTGCTAAGATATTAAAGGACTCTGGAGCACCTCTACTTGAGTAATTATGCTGACAGAGTCTCTAAGCACTATAGCAACCATTCCCTCACCCTACTTCACACAGCCTCTGCGTCTGAGGAAGCTGTGGTAAGGCAGGGCGTCTGTAACTATGTCTGCAGCAGAGTTTCTGCAAACACAGGTGTCTTGGTCTTGTGGTGTTTTCTTTCACACCCCTCGTTAAGCCTCCAGCTGCAGGATGTGTGTTACCCTCTGCTGTGCTGGCCAAGTTGGGGGTTTTGTGCTGAAGCTCACATCATATTAGCTGGATCACCACCACTGGTCAGGTGAGCTGACCTCTTATCTTTCACTTTCCTCTTGCTTTGCTTAGGGAACTAAAGGGTTTTTACTTCTCTGTCTCCCAAATAGGTATCTCCCGGGTCCCCCCACCTTTGTGTTACTGAGCTTGTCCACAAACTCACAATTTTTCTGGTGTTTTATTCTCTCCCCCTCCTATTCGTTATTTGCTTCGGATCACTGCCCTCCTACAACTGTCCACAGAAACATCTCCTTGGAAACAGCAAACCTTGTTTATGTGAAAGTAATAAGGAAACTAATTTGTGTATAGCAGCACAGGCATGCAAGAGAGCCATGTTCCACTGGAGGATGTTAGAAAAGCAAGTTTCTACTCATGCAGACTGCTGAGGTTGGATAGCATAAGCAAAAAACACTTTCTTTGTCTGGAATTTCCAAAGTTGCCCTCCTTTGTTCACAGCAGTGCTAGGAAGCTTGTTGGATGTGAATATGCTTATTTTTATGGACCTTTTTTGCTAGTCTTTTTCATCAGCAACATGTAAGGGTTGAGAAGCAGTGGGAAAATTGGTAAGTCTTGCTTCTCTCTTATTTTGTGGAACACTGTGCTTGTGCACCATGCTGTGCTAGGACCATCTCTCCTGACTTGGGCCTGACCACCCCTGTGGCCACAGGATTTTCCTACCCATATCTTGATTTATGTTCTTTCTCCTGTTACTAGACACCCTTGGGTGACTTTCTTGGGAACTAATATCTCTAAATAGCCTTGCCCAAGTGAGAAGACTGTTCCAGTTGCATGCCTTGTATTTTAAATTCAAGTGAAACTATAATTGTTATATCACTGAACCTTCAAATAAGCTGTTTTTCTGTTAGCTGAAACTGTATATACTCTTCATTTCTTACACTGTATCAAGTGAAATCATAGAAACATCAAGGTTGGAGTAGTGCAGCCATTGAGTTCAACCATTAACCTGCCACTCTGTTGCAACTCCTGAACCATATCCTCCAGTGCCAGAACCAGATGCCTCTGAAACACTTCCAGGGATAGTGACTGCACCACCTCCCTGGGCAGTCTATTCCAGTGCCTGAACACCCTAACAGGGAAAACATTTTTCCTAACATCTAATCTGTCTCTCCCCTGTCTTAGATTATGACCATTCCCTCCAGTCTTCTCCCTGCAGCCATGGCAGGAGAGACATCCCCCAGCTGACAGGAGTTGCAGAAAGCCATGAGGTAGCCATGAGGTCACCCACAAATATCTGCCTTTTTAAGTTTGTAGGAAATTTGATGGACTAGTGTAATATTGAGGTGGAAATACAAGAGTGAATAATATGCTTAAATAAAATAACTTTTAAAAATTATTGAATCCCCCAGGTTCTTGAAATGCTTGATACTACTTTGCTAGGTAGCTGCAAGATGGTTCAAAACTTGCTTTAACTTCCCAAAGGTTGTATATGCCTAAAGCACTTTTTGCAAGTTTCACTGTCCATGTCTAGAGCATCAAGGAAAATCCCTGACAGGGTGTGAACTGTCTTCAAATGTGCTTCTGATAAAGTAAAGAATGTGAAAGGGTGGGGCAGAAAGGGAGTGGAGAAAAAAGAACTTAATCCATATGCTTAATTATGGGGAGAATGCTGAGGATATTGCATATTAAATATCCTTCTGTTATCTCAACACCAAATGTGGAGAACTATGTATTGTGTAACAAAGTCTTATGGGAGAAGATGGGGAGAAGAGCACTAAGGAGGCTGCAAATGGAAACATTCTGTAAAACTTGGAATGCTTACTCCGCAGGGAGCACTGAGAGCTGGACACTGAAGCCTATAAAATAGTAGAAAATGCTGTTAATCCTTGAGTTTCAAAAGGACAAAGATCAGCATAGGTTATTAGAAAGCACCAAGGAAAATCTTGGAAAATGTTGTATGATCAAAGAGCTATGTTTACTGTTATGAGAGGCATTGTTTTGGAAATGCACTAAAATACAGGATTCGTCTGGATGTGTGGATTTTGTTTTGTTTGGGTTTCTTTTAGTTGTTATTCTGGTGCACATGATCTGGTTTGATATAAACAAAGCCAGGGACGGCCCAGTGACATACTTTGAAAACTGTTACATAGTCTGTTAAAGAATTAACAGCATTAAATAGCTCTATCTCTACAGGGCATGGATTCTGAATCAAATAACAGTTTCATAGGAAGCTTTATTCAGCCACCAGATCGGATGCATCCTGCAGCCTTTGCTTATAGAAAATCAAAGAAGTTGGCAGCAGTTGGTGCTGACAGGCCTTCTGTCCCAAATAACCAAGGTAAAGCCAAAGCATGTGCTTCAAGTGGTCTTTTTAATTGTTCCATGTGAAATCTCTTGAGCAAACTCCCCACTCTGTTTTACACAGTTCAATGACTTGCTGCAGTTATCAGACTGACATTGAGACAGGATGTATATGTGTCCTGAGGGAGTAGTCTCCTTGAAGTTGTATGTCTGGAATGGAAACCTCTGCAAGGCTTCTAACATCCTTATAAACTTTGGCTTTGAAATTTGTTTAGCTTAAAATGGTCAGACTTCCTCTAAAAGCAAAGGAGAATGCTTCAAACTCGGCAGAAGCGATTCATGACTTCAAATACAGTGCAAAAAAGATCATTAGTATGGTACACTGACTTGTAATTGGCTTTGCGTAGTGCTATTTGACTCCTTCCAGCCTAAAATCACTTCTAAGGCTTTTTGTGTGGTATGATTCCTTGGGAGAACTTTTGAACAACTCAGACTCTCAGAAAAGTTAGCAATATGAAAGTTAGTCCCTGTGAAATGTGGGTCCACTATGGCTGTTAATGTGCCTTAATGGGTGACTACTCTCTGGAGCTCCCAGAGCAAATGCTTAATGGGTGTCTACTCTCTGGAGCTCCCAGAGCAAATGTTTGGTGGCTTAGCATATCTGGAGAGCTTGATGAGTCATAAGGATATCCATACTTGGACTTACTGTCATGGACAACTTTGCAATATTGCACAGTTGTAGCCTGTGAGTGTGCATGTGATCATTGTGCTTCACTTCAGAAAATCTGTGACTTCTGTACTAATCTTTTACCATACAGAGTTTGGGGTTTTTTTATTAAGCTGAACACAGTTTAATGTTTAAGTAAGGAAATGTTTGGCATATCAATAGAAAGATGGAAAATGTAGTCCCACTTCATCTTTTTGCACTCTGGTACCTGCTTTTTGTTTTGGTTTTGGGTGGGTTTTTTTTCTGTTATGGGGTTTTGTTTGGTTTGGGGTTTTTTTTAGTGGGTCTGTGATAAGCTGATGAAAGTTGTTATGGAGCTAGCAATATTTGATGGATATTCCTTTAAAGAGAGAATAGAACAGGGAATCAGGACTTATAAAATGTCAGAAAATAAGCTTGACTTGTTACAGAACATGTCTTAAACTTCCACGGATGTGTATGCTTTTTGAGGAGCTAGTAGACCTTTCCTTGTAGCTGAAATTGCAACTTTTATTTTTGGCATAATTTTGACACATACTGATTTGAGACTAAAAGCAAAATCTTGCAGATGTATTTTTGTGGTTTAAAGAGTCATCAAATACAAGAAATTAGGCATTGAATTGTCTCCTTTTGAAACAATAAAGTATTTATTTGTAATAATATATGTATAAAATATGTAATAACATACATCCTCTACTAAATTGTACCTTTGGTTCTGATTTCTCCCCCTGTGCTTTGGGGGAGAGTTTGGATTTTTTTTCTCCTCTGTCCAGACCAGTTGAATTGCACCAAACTTATGACCTCCCTTGGATACCTGTGTTCCCTGCTTCTATGTAAACAGGAGTCCTAGAGTTTATTATACTCTATTTGCCACGATTTCTTTGTGCTTGCCACCATTTGGAGTGAAAATAGTTTTACTCACAGAACCAATGTTACCTTGGTTATGCAGGAAACATTTTCTCCCATATATATTCTACAGATGTTAATGTACAGCTGAGGAATATAACTGATTTTAGGTGTCATCCTAGGAAGAAAATTTAGGTAGTATATTGCAGTGTGAAGTGTTTTGTAGTAATGATCATCATCATCCTCACAGGAACTGTTACTTAAGGTGTAACTGTTGGCATTGTTTGCTTTGCTAGCTGTAGTGACAGCCCTGAAAACTCTTCAAGAAAAGATCCACCGACTAGAGCTGGAGAAGTCACAGGCTGAAGATAATCTGTGCAGCCTCTCTGTAGCAGCTGCTCAGTATAAGAAGGCCTTAGAACGTGAGTCCTATGAAAAGAACACAGCACATCAAGAACTGATGCAGCAAAGGAAAGGTATTTCTTTTGAGTGATAAGGTACAGCCACAGCAACTCTAAGTATATAATCCAGGGAGTGTTTGTTCATTTGGAAAACCTGCTAATTATTGTGGCTTCCTTTCACTTTTTTCCTTCAGAACTGGGGAAGGACAGAAGCTTGATAATTGTGGATCAAGTTGATATCTTTTTTTCTATATATTAACCAAGTATTGCATAACCCATAAAGCTGTTTTAAAGAACAAGCAGGTCTCAGGTGGTGTGTTTAGCTCCTGCAATAAGCAAGCAGCTGCTTACATAACACTGCTAACTTGAGAAAAGATAGGAGAAGGGAAGAAACCTGATTCTGGTTAGATATCTGCTGATACAAATCAAAGTAACTGCTCTGCTCACACCTTTGGAATTCAAATTAGGGACTAGCTCTGGAAAAACATTTTGATTCTCATGTCTTATAGATAAAATACATTTTAACTGCATGACTTGTTCAGACTGAAAAAAACTGTTCTTTCACATTTTGAAGGCAGAATTCCTCAATGAAATGACAGTTTGGCTAAATGCATAGCTCCCTTTGCTGTACCAAATGTCTTGTTTCTCTCTGTAGATGCAAGTGTGCAGCTAAATGCAGCACAGTCCCGCTGCTCCCTGCTGGAGAAACAGCTGGATTACATGAGGAAAATGGTTTGCAGTGCGGAACTGGACGAGAAACTGATTTTAGAGCAACAGGTGAAGCCCTTTAGCATATTAGCAAAGTTGTGATATAGTTCAAAAGTACAGAAATGTGCAGGATCTGGATTTTTGTATGGCCATTGTTCTTCCTCAGCTCTGCTCAGGGTGGTAGCAAACAGAAGCAATTTACTGACTGGTTGACTGATGACAACCATTCAATAAAGTGTATGATAACTCCCTGGGTGGAACTCCTAATGAGCAAAACCTTGCTAATACTTGCATATTTGGTAGGCAAAAAGGCTGCTGGAAATTTAAGTCATCTTTGTCTGCCTGGTGTTTTTCATCACTTTGCAATTTAAAAAATATGAAGTTTAAACTAGTTAAACACCTTTACTGTAGTGTGGGATGTTGGGTTTTGTTATTTTTTTTTTCTACCCGGAACAGTTTCAGTTAGCTGCCAACTCCATTCTTGCTTATTTTTTCCAGGCTCAGCTTCAGACAGAAGAAGGTCAGAACCAGTTGGAACTGCATACAAAACTTGAAAAGCTTGAAATACTAGAAAAAGAGTGTCTTAAGCTTATGGCTACTCAGACAATCTCCGAAGTAAGCATGCATGGAATGCCAGTCTCAAAGTAATTTCATGTAATTTTATGGCATACTATTAATAGTACCAAGTTTTGCAAAAGTTACCTCTGTTAAAGCATACCTGACTGAATGCCACCTTGGCGTTGTTTGCATGAGTCTTTTGTCAGTCTGGGCTTTAAAAATTCCTACAGTCCTGTTTTATCCCACATTACAATTGCAAGCTCCTTCAGACTTCTGATTCAGCATGGCAAACTGAAGCATGACTAATCATTCCTGTCTTCAAATTCAGGACAAGATCAAACACTTAGAAGAAAAGCTTTGTAAAGAAGACCATCAGCATAAGCTAATACAAGACAAAACTGCTCAGGTAGACTGAAAAGGTTTTGGTTTTCCTTATTTTTTAGGACTGAATAAAGCTATTCTCTCTGTTCAAAATATCCTTTTTGTATTACATTTAAACTCCACATGCTTGTTAACCAGGGAGAACTCCTGGAATACTACCTAGACCAGTTATAAACTATATATAAGAAAGATTGCCACGTATGTTGCATATCTCAATGAAGAAAAATTCCACTTGGGTTTGTATTAATGATACAGTTCATCAGCCTCAATGCTGCTTTAAGTGATCTAGGTAGAAAAATTCTAGAAAATCTTCAACTAAGCCAGATAACCTTAATTTACAGTATCTAGAAAGTGTTTCTATATGAAACCTCCTACCCCAAGTAAGGTTGGTTATTGTGTTTGTCTTCCTCTTTTTGTTACATCTATTGAAATCTAATACATTGGGCTGTACTTGGAAAAGTCTTTAATCAGTGATACTGTTTCATTGTTTGTTAAATAAGAGCTTGAATAATTCATTATTCTGTGAAGCTGTAATCAGCTCGTTGGGACACCATCCATCTGAGAGAGGAATATTTGCCAAAGAGAGCAAAATCAAAGGAACCTTTTGTTAAAAGGGCAAAGTAGTAGTATTCCAAACCTCAGCTGGCAGAGAAGTAGCAGAAGAGAGCAGCTGGGACAGGGTGAGGGGAATGCAGAGCTGAAGAGTAATATTGAGAGAACCTAGCCATAAGCAAGACTGATGGCTTGAATTAATTCATCACTGCTGTCTGCTTTTATACTTCAGCCAAGTATGTTGAGCTCTCATCAATCCAGGAAGCTTTAAATAAGATGCAGATTGTAGCCCAGGTGTCTGACCTCCTCCAGAATCCAGCAGAATGGAAGAGTTGAAGGTTTTTGGGTTTCTTGCTTAAACTGATTGCTGCAGAGCAGAAGGCCTAGTATGGAGATTTTGTCTTCTGAGAAACATAGTAAGAATGACTCTCCCAGGGCAGATAGTCTGACTTCAGCAGCAGTATAAATATTTTCTTAAGAAAGGACTTAGGTGTAGTAAACTGGGTCCTAAACTAGTATTAGTACCATCTTGGTGCACTGCAGTGTGGATTTAGGGCTGTTGGATCTGGGTTGGGAAGCACAGGGTGTGGGGTGGTTCACTTCCTTTTGGTGACAGAAGAGCCAGAATATTCTCACTTTAGTGCTGGACCTCCAGGATTGTTCAACCAGAACTGTTACACATGCCAAAACAAAGTCCTTATCCTAAGCTTAATTGGGAATGATTATTATCCTGTTTATTACAGGCCTTGATATCCACTTTGAACTACTGAGCAATCTGAGGATTGTCCAGTAGGTTTAACCTCAATGTTACACAGACAGGCTTAGATTTTATGTCCCCAGATTGTAAGAGCCAAATGTTCATCTCATTTGGATTTTATGATCAGATCCCCAGCATGTGGCAGGATTGGCTTATGTCAGTTGCTGGTTGTCACAGTGGAAAAGTACAGCTGCTGCAGCTGAATATGAAAATGAGGAATTCTAAGACAGAGCTGCAAGATCTGCCTGATACCCTGCCTTCCTAGTAATCTCTTCAGTTTTTGAGAGTAGCTTATGGCTCCCAAGCAGGACAGTTAATAGTGCCCTTAATTGGTTCTCATCCATGCATGAAAGAGGGAATTAATTAAACCAGGTGATTTCATACTTCTAATAGGACATTAAATGGTTGTTTTCTTTTTTGATTATTCCCACAGCTTCAAATGGGCTTTGATACAAACAGAATTTTGATGTCTTCGATAATATCTCAACATGAACCTGAAAAAGAAAATGGGAAGAAGCCAAAAACTAAGAAGGTAACATGGAGATTTTTATTAGCATATGGTTGCTGATAGTATCTGACTCACACAGAGATTGGAAACTGTGAAAAAAGGTGATGTAGGAGGAACTCAGTTTGTCTGCTGCACTTTACTCCATTTCCAAAGTGACAAACAGTGCTGAATAACTCATCTTTTATTTCCTTTTCTTTGGTAATTAAAATGGTGCTAGGGCTGGTAGCACCTCACTGGAAAACCTTCCCTTACCAGCTTAACAGTAACCTCTGTTACAGTCTTACTGCCATTCCCCATGTCCTGCCTTAGCTGCCTTTCAGTTCATCTGGCAAAATTAGTTTCCAAAGGGGCTTTAACTCAGCATCTTAAGATGGTGTGTTTTGGGGAGATTGCTGAGATCAAGAGAATTGACTTTGCAACACATGTTACAGATCAGTCAAAATTTTGCAAGTGTGGTTTTGAAAATTTAAGTTCCATTTCTTTAACATCAGCCTAATTGTCAAACTATGTGCTACATGCATATGGAATAATATATACTTGTCTCAGCTATTGGAAAGTCTTATTTGTTACACATACAGGAGGGAATCTTATTGTTTTAAACCAGAGGGGACTGCGGTTATACATTTCACTGTGTGTTTATTTGACTTTTACTTATTAAAAAAATAAAGTTTAAGACTGTCCTCTTGGGTCAACAGATTGGAATTTGTTGTCTTACATTTTCTTATGGCAGAGAAATCCTACAGTGAAGAAAACACACCTTTCACAATTACATGTAAAGGCTGGTGAACTACCTTTTGTGGCCGGGAAGGTGAGTGACAACAAATGTTCTCTCTAAAGTGGCGTGTACAGTTTGAGTAAGTCTCTTTGCTGTAATTGTTAATTACTTCTGTAAACCACTTCATCATTCTTCTCTAAGTCCATCAGCTCCAGCCACTCTGTTAGTGCAAACGTACAAAGTGTGTTGCATATTATGAAGCATCTCAATCCATACATCTCATCACGAAGACAAGGAGGAGCCATGTCTGGGATTTCAGGACACAGTGCACTTTCAGAATCTGTATCCTCTTGTTCCACATCACCTCCTGCCACCAGAACTCTTTCAGACCTTCTGTTGGCCATACAAGATGAGCTGAGCCAAATGATCTTGTGAGTACTCATCCCTGGTGTTAGGAGGAAAAGTGACTTCAGTGGTAGCCCTGGGAAGGTACAGGTGTGCTGTAGTTGAGCCTCACCTGTTTTGAGTGTAGGACTATTGTTGACAGAATGACCTGAGCAGGTTGGACTGGTAGGATTTTTCTCATTCAAAAAATTCTTTCTACTCTGCTGTTTAACTGGTCTTGTGAACAAGCAACACACTCTTCAGCTGGGTTTTTCTGCTTCCATGTCCCATATTTAAACAAGCTGCTACTGAAATAACAGCTGCAGCAAACGAAAAATCTTTCAGGCCTGTGCTTTTTAGAAACTTTAAACATATTCTGAGATCTATAGAATGGGCCAAAAATGTTCTCCTAGAGAGGACTGCAAATGTGGTGTTAATATTGAGTAGACCTGCAGGATGCAGTCAGTCTGGGGGGTGGAATAGGTTAGTACAGCTGTGACATCAATAATCCTGTCACAACATCTATCCTGTTCCTTTGTACTTGCTCTTTCTGTGTTCTCTCCTTATGTGTGTACTTGATGGATCTTTGTGCTGAGTCAGTCTGGTGTTCATATCCTTTGCTTCTTGATAGCAGGAGAACTTGCTGGTCCTGTAAGGGGCTTGTGAAAGAGGCATAGTGTCCTGCCAGAAAATGGGCAGGGTGTGGAAGAAGCTAACACAGTAGATGGGAGTGTGTGTGTCTTTCTAGCCACGCAAGTAAATGTGGATTACAACTTGTTGTGTTCTTAGGCCTCTTCCCATTAATGCAAGCTTGTAGAATTGTGGGCCAAGCTATGTAGCTGGTCGCAGTAGACATGCCAACACAATGAGCTATGGTTTGAACAGAGGAGGATGTGTTGGTTAAACCAGTTAGGATGGTGACACTGATTTGAAATCTTTGATGTGGCAAAGTTTAAACTGGCAGGCAATCTCTTCTTCAAAAAGCAATGTTTGACATACTCATGGCAGTTCAAGGACAGGCTTTTTTTTATATAGCAACAACCAGTTATTTCAATTAAACTGTCAAGGAGCAGCAGTTACCCAGAAGTCTTGAAAGAAGCTGTGACTTTTGTAAAAAGGTTCCTTGTCTGAGAGAGGGTCTCTGGTTTCCACTAGTTCAGATATCTAGGTGTCAAGAAGATCTACACAATTTCTTTTAGTTAAGCTGATTAATTTGATTACCCAGCCCACTTTACTGCAAATCTTTTTGAGTAGAATATTTTAATTTGAATAATCTGTCAGAAAAATTGTTACTTGAATCTACCAGTTTCAATGATGCTTTTCTGTATTGCACTAAGCTTTCAAAGTCTGCACTAAATTGGGCAGGAAGTGAAAATGCTGTAGAGCATAGCTGCTGTTCATTTTCAAAAATCTCATTTTGTACACTATTACACATGTAGTTGTTATGCCTGTGGGAAGAGCAAGAAGTAAGATGCCCATCAGCTAAAAATCTGAAATGAGAAAATCAGACACACAGGAAAACCCTTTTTCATGTTAATATATTCCAGATTAATGTGTATTGTGTGAGAAGGTAAATCATGCTAAATTGCTGTACTCTGGACAAAATGGCTAGTGACTTCTGCAATGCACTGAAAGTATTGAAAGAAATCCTGGAGACTGTGTCATGAATACTTAGTGTGCCATTCTCATCTGTAATAGTGAGCATCAAGAACTTCTGAAGCAGATAAAGGAGACTCAAGACTCTAAAGTTCGTGAACACCTGGAACGGGACCTGGATTGCCTTGTAAAACAAATGGGGATTAAAGGACAACAAATATCCAAGCTGAAAAAGCATCATGCTACTGTAAGAATAAAATGTAACTCTCTAGCTGGTAACATTCTCGTTGAAAGGCTGCCACAACTCTGCCTCCTGTTGTCATCAGCTAGAATGTCACTGGAATGTTTAAGCCAGGGTGTTCCAGTATGGGTGATTATAGTTGGACTGCAAGCTCATGTTCTTATGTCTCCACTTCCTCCTTTTGGTCGAGAGAAAGTGCTCATAGCTGGCAGCTAGGGATGTGTGCTAGTGGGAAAACTTCCTGCCCCGTGGCAGTTCTGCAGTGGAGAGCTGGGCTGCTCAGTCTGTCACTTCTGCTCACCACATTATGACAAACTGTTGAGATTTCATTCCCTTGTGTCTTGTCCCTCTGGGAAATGAGAAAATAGAAACTATAATTCTTGTACAGACTGGATTAAATGTCAATTGTATTACTGAAATATTGAAGCTTTTTATTAACTAAATAGTCTGTTGACCACAGCTTCTCCGAAATCATAGCCAGACAAGGCTTCCTGTTTTGTTTAACCCCTAACCTGTCCACATTCTCTCTGTATTTAGTTTAGAGCCATAGAAAACAACTTTCCATACATGCCCATACAAAATCACTCTTCTGTAGATGAACAGCTTAACTCTTTTGTAACAATTTGTTTTGGAACTATGACAAAAAAATCAGTCCACAGTCCTGTCTGGTAGTTTTCTGTCCTTCCATGTTATGTTTCAGGACAAGTAGACTCAGTAGACTCAAAGATTAAGAACTTTGTTTTTGCAGGAAAAAACCCAAAGCTCAGTGTGAGACCTTATGAAAGGAGGAGGAGATAATTTAAATCTGACCAATTTTATTCACATTCATTCTTTGATAATTTTACTCACTCAAACCTTTTATTATGTCAAAGCAGATGTATCAGAATTGCATGGTAGCAATGTGGACAAAGGGTGTTGATGTTTGGGTCCTTACTGCCTCTCTTGGCATTGTCAACTGTTTTTTGGATAAATCTCTTATATTGTTGAGGAGCCAACCATTAAGGTGCTATTCCTTGCCTGAGAATCTGGCTGACTTCATACTCCAGGAACTGAAGACACTGGACAACAACTCCACCTTTGTTTCTTTCTTTTGCATATCTTTATGGCTGCAGTTTGCCTTTGTTTTGGGATGATGAGGAGTAGCACATACAATGTTGTGCCACCTTGTTGTCATCCTTGCCTATTATCAGGGTGCAGATCTTCTGGCAAGTCATCTGTGCTCTGGCACAGCCTTATCAGAGCACACCCTCAGGGCTGTGATGTAAATAGTAATGTCTGTTTGATTACTGTCCATCATGCCCTGGTTATTGATACAGGCCATTCCTGTAACTCCTTGGCCTATATGTTTTTTTCTGGTGCTTTTGCACACAGACATTTCTATTTACATTTTGTACAGACCAATCTTAATATTTCTGATGGATATTTCTGCCTCCAGAACCCATCATACTAAAAATGCCATGGTAATCTCCGGGTTTCACAGTTAATAATATGGTCTAGAGTGCAATTAAAGTGAGATATTTTTAGAAATGGACTTAAAGCCTAAATTGGCATTTGGAATGCTTCCAGCCTAATTTTATCTTTGGGAAGTGACCTTTTCATGCCAAGTGCAAGTCAAGACTTATTATTTGACATTTAATAAAACATTCTTTAGCAATCAACCCTATTTATTCTGTTTTCCACTTTTGTCAGGAGACTTCAAAGCAAGATGCTTAGATACAGTAACCAATAATAAATAGCATACCTCTTAGAGGTTTATTGAGCTTGGCGTTTTTTATTAGGGCAGTACAATCTGAAATGCAAAAACTGATGTCAATATAGGCTGGTGACAAGTGATATTCCATCTCTTTCAAGCAAGCATTTTTACCTTAGGGAGCGATAGACTTCAACAACCTATTGAATGTGGGTGAAGTCAATTTTCTGTAATGCTTTCTTTATGGGCAAGGTCAGTTTTCTGCAGTGTTTTCTGTTACAGTGAGATGACTGTGTAAGATTAGTAAGTTGAAACTTTTTTTTTTAATGTCCCTTAGACATCTCTAGTTTGGAGTTTGGTAGAAGTCCAGTAAACTCTACAGCTGCAGGTCCTCTGAGTATAGAATCTTAGAATCATAGAATCATCTGGGTTGGAAAAGACCTCCAAGGTCATCAAGTCCAACTCTACCATGGTTACTAGACTATGGCACTAAGTGCCACATCCAGTCTCAGCTTGAAAACCTCCAGGGACAGTGAATCCACCACCTCCCTGGGTATGTATGTAACACTCTAATCAGTAATCTTTCTTTCTAGGTGCAGAAATTAAAGAGAAAAGCTCAGAAATTGAAGCAAGGAGCAGCTCATGTGAAACTAAAGTGTGGTGACCCAAAGAAAGCAAACGAGATTGCAGTCAGTGCAAAGGAAAGTATGTCTAAATCTTGTCCTGGGCAGAAAAGCAGAAGCTCTCTTCAGCTGCTAAAAACTGTGAGGAAACTTCAGTCATCTCTGAAAAAAGATGTTTTCATCTGATATTAATAGTTCTGAACTTTGCTATGTTAGAAGTTTTTGAAATTGTCTGACATCTAGTAAATTTTTAGTTGCACAAAATGCCTTTTAAAAACCAAAATGCATACATATATAAGATAGACACAGTATAGATATAGACATATATTCTAAACTCCCTACTCCCCAGTAGGTCAGTTTGTTCACCTCTAAATTAACTTTCATGTAGGGCAGCTATAAATTAACTACACTTTCTTGTAATGAAGTGTTTTAATGGACTAATGGAATGTTTGCTTGTTAACTTGTCAAATAAAATTTTATTCCTTTTTTACACTTAAAATATATGTGATCTTTGTTGTCCTGTTCCCCTCTGCTGCCAAGGAGATACTTAGGACTTGCTTTTCCAGAATGACATGGTCTAGTGCTTCTGTACAAATAAACCCAGCAGCTTTCCTTCTTCTAATAACTGAAGATTCAGATCATTGCAACTGAGCCAGAAATAGATGTATTATCTCTCATTTATGTGTTTTCATTATTAATAATGTTATTACTCTATAAGTTTTATAGATAATCTTAGTATTAGGGCTGGAAGCAAAACCCATGACTTGGTTAAACCACAACAACGTTAAGAGTGTTCTTGATAAGTGCATGGAAGGGGCCACTACCAAAAGCTTGGGTGCTTGTCTTCTCATCAACAGAACCTCCTTCTAGCACAGTATACAATAACTGAGCTGTCATAGAGGAGACCTTGAACTGCATACCAGTACCTGTTGTGTCATTTGTATAGTTATACAAATGCAAGATGTGTCTTTATGCTACTGGTGACTCTGCTCTTTTCCATCCCCCACTAGGTAAAAGATTTAACAGTGACTTCAAATCAACACTGGTTATTTAGTTGCAGAATATTCTTGTTTTGGGTTTTCTGACTGATACTGATTTTTCTGGGTGTTTGCATATATCAGAAAAAAAATAACTTCCTCTGGATGTGCACGTTCTGCTGCACATCTGTTGTATAAAGAGAATGCAATGGTTTTGTCAAGCCTTTATGCAGATAGAATAAAAATTGGAGGCATGCTCTGTTGTCAAGGGGTTTGAGTAAAGGCTGGTATATGGTCCTAACAGAAACTTGGGTCTTTGGGTTAGTAAGTTTTGCTCTGGTGCTCTTCAAGGCAAATGAGTAGAAAGAATTTCAGGTAATTTAAATTTAGAATAGACTGTTGCAATCCCTGACAGAAGTTGTGTGTGAGAGATGGTTTTTGTGTGTGTGTATTTTATATGCACATATATATGTCTTTATCAGGACCATGGGGGATCAAATTCTTCATGTGATATTCAGGGATAGGTTTCCTCCACTCTGTTAAACTGTACTGATGTCCTTATGGATTGCTTCTGGATCAGAAAAGCACTCTGTATGCTTAGAAACACTTAAACAAAAGCATGGTATTTCCCTGGTGTAGATAGCATTTCTAAGGTAGGTTTATGCATTCCTGGACACTGGAATTACTGATACTGGGATCCAGTACATAAATCACCTGCTCCCTCTATGCCTTGACCTGGTGTTTTCATTGACTATAGAATCCTGTGGAGAGGGGGCTATTTGGAAGCTGGAGCTGGAGAAGGAGGGCCATGGTTCTCCTCTTGGACAGGGGCTGTGGTGGAGGGCAGCAGTTTTGAGTCAATGAACCAGATAATGGATGGGGCAGTGTTTAAACGATGGCAACATTGAGTAGTCAATCTCCAAAATGGGTCCAGCCCCGGAATAAAACTGCTGTGTTTGCCTTTCTGTGGGGTGTCTGGAGGGAAAGGGAAGTGGCTGAAGCTGGTTCTGCTGGCAGCTGGGTGTTTCTCATCTCTGTCTGCTTTGGAGCGGGGACCAGAACCTGAAAATGTCTTGCTCAGAGCCAGGAGTTGGGATTTGAGAGGGGAAAATAGGAATGGATAATATGCAAGCTTACATTGATTGACAGGAGCACATCCATCACTTGTATTTCAGCTCAAAAGATTCTATTATATTTTAATAATTCTTTATTTTCTGCTTTTTTTCCCCCTGAAGCTTTTATTTCTCTAATACATGTGTTTTCACACTAAAGCAAAGCAGATGCACTTCAGCATGGGCTGAGAGATTTAAACCAGATACAAAAGAAGTGTATCTGAAACCAGTTTCCTTGCTTGAAGAAAGGCAGAAAATTTGTTTTGGGATTGTAACTTGGGAGGGAGAGGTAGGCTAGGAGGTCAGTTAATGTATTTATTTATTAGCATATTCACAGTTTGAGTCAACTGACAGTAATGCAAAGTAAGTCTTCAAAGAAACACACAGCAGCTAAGCATTCTCTGGAAGCCACAGTGGTGAAGTTAAGCTTCTGCACAAGTGTTGTTGATGAGGTTCAGCTCCATGAGAACTGGGCAGATCACAGGGAATTTTGCTGGGATCTGAATGCTTCGTGTTTTTATGCTCAAAAAATGTTCTGGCCTGGAACTCCATAAACGTACATTTAGACAAAGCTCAGTGGTCAGATCAGGCTTCTTCACCAGAACAGTATGTTTTTGGCTTACTAAGTGCTTACTCTACTCTTTTACAAATCCTTGTTTTGATTTATATCCTGCATGTTTTTGTTTGTTTTCTCAGACAAAACTCTATATTTCTTTTCTTTTTTTTTAAATTAATGTTTTGAATTTAGCTATACAGGGCAGCAGATAGCAACTTCTCAATATCTGAAGGACCTACAAGGGAGCCAGAGAGGGATTCTTTATTAGGAGCTGCAGTGACAGGACAAGGGACAATGGGTATAAATTGAAAGAGGGAAGATTTAGGCTAGATATTAGGAAAAGGTTTTTCACTGTGAGAGTGGTGAGACACTGGCACAGGTTGCCCAGGGAAGCTGTGGATGCCCCAACCCTGGCAGTGTTCACAGCCAGGTTGGATGAAGCCTTGAGCAACCTGCTCTGGTGAGAGGTATCCCTGCCCATGGCAAGGGGGTTTGGGACTAGATGATCTCTAAGGTCCATTCCAACCCCTAAAATTCTGTGATTCTATGATAAAAGCGCACAGTGATCCCAAAAAAAAGACTAGAATCATAGAACTTTAGGGGTTGGAATGGACCCTATAGACCATCTAGTCCCAGCCCCCCTGCCCTGGGCAGGGACACCTCCCCACTAATTGGTTTATTTGCTTGAAATCTGGATTCTTCTGCGCTGAGTTGTGCAAAATTGCCACAACATATTTTGTTGGTATTTGAATCTAAGGTCATATTTTATGGTTAGACATTAAGGAAATTGGACAAAAGATGTAGGTCAAAAAGTATAATTAAAAATACAGACCAGCAAATTGTATCTAACAATAGTTCACTTTCCTGCTGTTAATGGAATATGCTAGCACAATTTAATGGCTTTTTACTTAAGCCTGCTGGAAAGACTTTGTCCCAGTACAAAAGGCATTCAGTTTGAGCATGTGTATTACAATCTTCTAACCAGCAAAGCTGGAGGTTGGACACAGCTATAAATCCAGGGTGTTCTGGGAATAGAAGCTGGCAAAAACACTCAGAGCAAAATAATCAGGGCAGGATCTTGCTGGGATTTGGATACTGGCTAATGTAACTAAGTACAGATGTTTTTTGTGGACTGAAAGACATTCCCACAGTAAGAATACTGTACAAATACATGATGATTTTATAGCAGGAGTAAAGGCCAAGGAAATGGGGATAATAAGACGTGCTCTTGTTTCTGATGAAGCATTTTCTGATTCTCTCTGTTTGCCTGTGCTGAAGTGGTCAAGGCTGCCTCTACTGTGTCCCCTGCTGGAGCCTGTTGAAGCTTCTGCAAGCTGTTCGAGTTGTGGCTCTGGTGCTTCCCTGAAGGTCTCCATGGGGTCCCTGGTGGTGTGCCATAGTCTGTCTTAGATAAGTGGAGAGAAACAAGCATTTCAAAAAGTGTTGCTTTAAGGTAACAGCTGAAACAGGCCAGATGAATCTTTACCCCAAATGCCTGGTTCTCTCTACTGAATGCAAAGGGAGTCTTGGGTGATTGGTGGTCTTAAATTGTTTATACTGTACAAAGAGTTTAGCCAGGTAATTTCTGATGAAATGTGGAGCTCTTTGATTTCTGGGGATCCTGGGTGAGCTCTTCAAAATCCAGAAGTACTGCATAAGTCCTGGACTACTAACAGCCTGGGAATTCTTTGCTTTGCCCTGCATACAACCACTTTTTCTCCTTTTTTCATGTCAACCTCTTGTGCATTGGTCTGAATGTGGGTGCCTGTCCTGAGGACACAAGTACTGTACCTTCCCCATGATGAGTAGCCTCACTGATCCAAAACTAGGAACTCAGGGTCTCAGTGCTGTGTGGTTTGGGAAAACACAGAATACTACAGGAATTTATTTTACTGGCACTTAGGAGCATTTCTTTTTGCAACCTGAATTCACTTCTGGGCAGCTTTACTATTTTCCTAGAAGTTTTGCTTTATACCCAGAAATGGTAACTTATATTCCCACTGCATCACTCTGCTATCCTAAGTTTACTTCCAGGTTCTCAAAAGCTGAGGTAAGTAATTGTTATTAGTTTTACAGCTATGTCTGAATTATTTTTAACTGAACTCCATTGTCTGCATAGTGGCATCATTTCTTTTCTCTTGGTTCCTTCCTGTTTATACAGCTGAACAACTGTCTGCTCCTTATTTTCCTTAGCAACTTTTAATTTATCTGGTATTTCTTGCTTTATTTTTGGGCTTCCCCACCCTAATGTTTGGGTTAGCTCCACCATCATTTCTTCCAACCTCTTCTCCCTGCATTTATTTTGAGAGCAAGATCCATTTAACTTTTTGTCATTTGTTTAAAGATTTCTCAGCTTCTCCAGCATTAAAATCCTTGAGGTATTGGTTGCATTTGAGTTTTCTTATTGCTTTTATTAATTTCTCTAAGTTAGATCTCTTTGGATCTTAGCACTTTACCTTCAGGTCTGGTTTTGTTCTTCCATTCTAACCCAGATTATGATCACTTCTCTCATGTTCTCATCACTTAGCAAAACTGTCTGGA